CTCCCACCTTTTTCCCATTTCTCTTTGTCAGGATCAGATCTCTCATGGCTGCGGAGAAGCTGCTAGCAGAAGGTCTTTACACGTAGACCACGATCAATTGTATTGACAGAAACATTGTGCCAAAATGTAGATAATTTGCTTAGTGTTTTAACCCTTCACTCCATCACCTGTGACTCTCAGTGGTCCTTGTAAGGATTATAGAGTCAAACTACAGACTTCAACATAAGTTAAGGACCACCTTGACAGACAGCCCTGATTTTGTCAAAATCCGAAAAAAGACAGCAAGGAATGTTTCTGAATTTTTTGTTCTGAAAGTGTTAATGGGTTACAAATGCGTACTGCAAAGCTTTCTAAAGGGGCAAAACCACCTTTTGCAGCTCCTAAATTCTCAGGGAATTTTAGCCAAATTTGCAGTTTTTTTATCGACTTGTGTGCGACACCACGGACATTCCTCAGTTAAAATTTCTGGTGCACGTCATAAACGGACGTATGGTCTCGAACTGTGCCCACTTTGGTGGCAATATAAGCTGCCGTTTGCACAAAATCCAGTATCACATCAACATGCCACCGAGACGAAAGCTGAAAGACTTTGATCGTGCCAGAGCTATGGCATGGATGTAGGATGGAGTTGGAGCCTGAGAAATTGCCAGAAGGTTTGCAGTGTCACACTATGACATCTTCCGCTTGAGGCAGCGCCATCAAGCCACTGGATCAGTCCAAGAATGCCTACATGCAGATCGACCCAAGAAGACCACTCAGAGTGTTTGCAAATGGTCCATAACTTATGTTGAAGTGTGTAGGAGGGGAAAGTAACAAAATTAAAAGTTATCTTCCTGATAATTACTCTTCCCCATCCTCTCAGAAAATAATGGCAAAAAGTGTAACTGTATTTGTCAAGTGGACTTAATAATACAGATGACATGATAATTAAGCTTTAAGTTTTACTTTCTACCGACACTTTTAAACAAATAAATCAGGACATAGTCACATTCTAAGAGTAGCTTCTCAAATTATGATCAACTAGTTTGATACATCAAATCATCATCAATGTCATTCTCACCTTGGATCAGGGTACAGTGGAACTCGGATTCGACGAGCTCGGATTCAACGAGATGAGATAGATTCCCCGTTTCTTTTTCTTCTTTAAAATCAATAAAAATAACCTGGATTCAACGAGCACTTAAATCAGCGAGCTCGGATTCTACACAGCAACACAACTTTTTGGTAAACAATCGAGATGACACAGGCGTGTGAATTTGAACGAATCAGTCTTTTTTTTTACACGGCTCATAATATGCAGGCATTTCAGGCTCTACTCGTGACTTCTCTTTATATGTTACTTGCTCAGTGCCTGTAAGTATCTACAGAAAACCTCGTATTTGCTATAACGAACCCTCGGATTCAACGAGATTTTAGGTTAGGCCCGGCGACCTCGTTGAATGCGAGTTCCACTGTATAGGCCACGAACAAACACTTTCCCCATTTCCCTACCTCGGGCATGCCTCTTGGTATATTCCGTGTTTTCCCATTTTTTTGTACATCATTCTCTGTGACATGACTCAAATAGTTGGATCTAATCTATTTTTTTTCATTACTTTACTTTTCCGATCCTGCAGCCATCTGGGTTCTAGCCCTTCGGCCTGTCGATATAGCAAAGAATTTACAGGTTTTTATCAGCTGTATTTTGTCACTGTATAAAGTATTTCCGATATCTGGGGAGGCAGGAAGGTAGGTGCTACGCAGGTTGCTAAGTGCACGGTAGGTAAAGAGGTGTGATACTGTTTCATCCTTACAGTCACACAACGGGTAGTCAGGCGGGGTATCCATGCGGATCCTATTTAGGTAGGAATTCAGTGGGATGTGTTGTGCTCGTAGGAATCTATGTGTAGTTGGATATTTGGACTTAAGACTTAAAGAAAAACTTTAAACCAATATAAGGGATTTCTATTTCAGGCTGGAAGTGGTCATGACAGACTTGCAGAGGATCAAGGAGGCTGTAGAAGTTCAAGAACAGCTTCGTCTGGCAAGCATTCCAGATAGTAGATCGGGAGCGATGACACCTGTGTTGAAAAAAGATGATCTCAGACGTCTCGACTCGCAGATGACAATGTCCTCAGCTGCATGGTGCGTGGGTGATGTTTTTGTTTTTGTGGTCGTAGAAGAATTCAAAGACATGTTAGGTTTGAGTTAGTCAAAGTGACAATTGACTTTTACCAGAGAGTAATAGAGAGGGAGGGAGAGAGAGAGATAGAGAGAGAGAGAGAGATAGAGAGGGAAAGGGGGGAGAGAGAGACAGAGAGAGGAAGAGCGAGGGAGGGACAGGTGGAAGAGAGAGAGAAAGAGAGAGAGAGAGAGGAAGAGCGAGGGAGGGACAGGTGGAAGAGAGAGAGAAAGAGAGAGAGAGAGAGGAAGAGAGAGAGAGAGAGAAAATGAGAGAGAGAGAGAGAGAGAGAGAGAGAAGGGGGGTGGGGAAGAAATAGGGAGAGTGAGCGTCTCTCATGTATAGTCTTGGTGCATCTATCTGTTGCATTCTTTTCAAATGCGTAGCTGAGTTCATTGTGTGATTATTTGGCTTATATAAAAAGTAAGCAACTTACTTTACTTATATGAAGTAACATATAAAAAAACTTTGGGAAGTAACTTTACCGCGTATCGCACATTGCATGTTACCATTGCATCGTATCTTCTGTTTTTGTTGTACAGGAGCACTCCTCGTGATCAGGACGTCTCCTCAATGCAAACTCAACTACGAGAACTTCAAGATCAAGCATCCCAGAATACCATCAGGCTCACTCAGCTGACATTCTTGCTGGAACGTATCGTCTCCGAGCAGAAGCCTGGCTCGTTGCTACAGCAGCGGTCGGTGGAAGGTGACACAGATGCGGATGTTGGTGGAAGAACCAAGCTGTAGATGTTGATGTTGTTGTCGATCCAGCTGTAGATGTTGTTGTTGTTGTTGTTATCAATGAAGCAAAGATGTTGATGTTGTTGTCAATCCAGCTGTAGATGTTGACAAGTAGAGTTTTTGCCCTTTAATTTGTTGGTTTGATAGAGGTTTTTTGGCACTTGCAACTCTTTGGGTTAAATAAGTCTCAAGATTTTAGTTTTGTTTTATTAAGAGTTTTATTTAGGTCATATAAATGCCAAAGATTAGAGGTGTTACAAGAAAGTAACATGCAAAGAAAAGGAGTGATAATGATTGTTCTTATTGTATTAGTATAATGAGGGTGATTGTCATTTCGGACACTTTTCTAAAAACCTTTAACAAATTTGATTTCAGTTGATTCGATTTGCAAAATGTAAGTGTATTTGTTTTTATGAGTTTAGGAACACCTGATTCATGTGCCTGCATGGTGGAATGATAGCTGTCTCTCTGCGAAGATAACATGGGATGACTGTCCTTTGACGATATGTTGCAATAGATATATGATCATGTTGGAGAAAACAAGGGAAGGCCAGCAATATGAGTCAGTTGTTGTTGGCCAAAAATGTCTTGTTTTGCTGTACCAAGTTTAAAGACGTAACATTTTGAAGATGAGCAGCCAGAAAGACACGATTTGTAGAAACCTGAGGTCAATCTGTGCCGAGAAAAACTGAGCTGTGTTCCGTACCAGCTGAACGACTCACTTTTCACATAGAAATTTATCGGATTTTTACATTTTTTAATACTGAGCCAATAGAAAATAGATGTAGTGTTTGAAAGGTTGGAAAAACCAACTCTCTGTTATAAGTAATTCTAACCCTGCCACTCTTTTGACCTCAGTCATGACTGTACTGTATGTAAGAAATGACTCGCTATAATGAAGAGGCACATGCATTGAAGAAAAGCACAAATGTGGGGTAGTCACTAAAGACTTATCAAAAGAGATTCATCAATCTTCTCGAGAAAAAGTTGTTCTGTACCTTGTACTATATGAAACGTTTTTGTACTTTTTGTTATAAATATACTCATGTGCCAAATGAACAATTCCTTGAATTTGATTGGTTCAGCTAAAAGTAAGCTGATGAGGGGTGGGTTCGATTGAAAGGGAGGAGAGGTGTCCAAATTGATACAACAATGTAATGTGGCCTCATTGTTTTCTCATTGCAATTGTGTTCAAATTTCTGCTAATGATCACATTGTTTGAAGGCACCGTCCGCAAGCTGTGTAGCTTGTTCCCAAGTTTTCTTGTAAATATATTTTCTTTTACTCCTGCAATCCTGTATACAGTCAAACCTGCTTTAACAGCCACCTGTCCAACACAACCCTCTATCTGTCCAAACAACTACTTTCCAATCCACCCCCCCTCCCCCTCTTGCATTTTTGTTCCCTCCATTATAATGACTCTGTTTAAGAGGATCACCTGTCTAATACCGGGTGCACATTGCGGGTGGGATTGGGTCGGGTCGGGTTGATCGCCCAACTCGTAGTCTGAAAACAAACGCGTTTGTTTTTTAGACAACTAGTTGGGCGATCGGTTTGTGCCATGATAGCTGCTTTGCGTCCTCAATCTGGCTAGCAAACTGGCCCGACCTGATCAGGGCAATGGGCACCCGGTATAAGATGACCACTTTTCATTTGGACAATGGGTGGTCGTCTTGGACTAGTTCAATTGTAGTGACATCATGACAATCATTACGAGCTGTCCGTCCAGGGCCATACTTGGTTGTTGGTCACATTGCGTGAAGGTGGGTTGTTGTGTTTCTATTTATCTAATGTTTGTGCTTTCTTTGCTGAGTGAGAAACCAATGTGGACGGACTATTTTGAAAATCTGGATAATTTTCTTTTGCTCTGGAAGAAGTATTGTCTTTACTTCCTTCGTGAACTAAAAGTGAGTGCGTACATTTCTAAATTTGCCCTCACTTTTATTAAATTGTTGGTTGTTTTTTACTTTTGCTTCTTTGTTTAAATAAATTATGACATATCAGTGTACTTATTTACACGGATTCATGTAACTCCTTTCTTTTTCTACCAAGTGTTTCTTCAGAGAGATTTGTTAGCCTGTTTTGTGAAGATGGTGAGGTATATTTTCCTGTTTAGAGCTTGTTGAGTTCAACTTAAATGATTTCATAGTGTACTTACAAAGTCAGTTTGTGATATTAAAATTTATTAAAATATTTGCATTCCGTCCGTTGTTTTTTCTTCTTCTTGTTGATTGCTGCACATTCTATGATTGGATTGCGGGATTAACTTTTGCCCCTTCTCAGAGATGAAAAATATGAAAAATATGGCAGCATATTATTTGACTGGCATACCTCAGTGATTAAAAAAAAATTCATTATAATGTTTCAATGTATAGTGTGGCTTTTAATGTACAAGAATCTTATTCGTAATGATCTCTATCTTCTGTGTCTTGACTGTTTCTGTCAAAGTTTGTGTTTGTTAGCTGCAGGAATTTGTGTCTCTGTAGATGAAGAAGGCGAGTGTGTAGTGACAAGAATTCCTTGAATGTTTTCTAAAAGTTGATGAGAGTTTGTGGTAATTATATGTTAAACTAATAAGACAGTCTCAGTTCAATTTTAATGTGCTTCCTTTGTGTCTTTGTTGACCATATAGTGCCAATAGCAGGGTTAACAAAAGCACTAACTTTATGTGTGTATATTGAATTGTTTGGTTTATACATTTTTTTGCTAGCTCAAATAATACATGGATGAATGTTTTTCTCACTGTATATTTTACAGCCCTTATGAGCCACAATTTTTAATTCATTGTGTTCTGTCAATGATCAATTAAGACATTCCATTTCTTGTCTTCTTTTGTTACTTTTATATTTTTGTGATTCTGTCAGCTATGATATAGAATGGCAAAACAGTAAAGTTATTGTTCTGCTAATTGCTTTTATTTTTGGACATTAATTTTGTTATTATTTTTTATTTATATAGTTCAAGACTTTATTGTGTCTGTAAATGAAATCAAAGTAATCAAAGTAAATTTCTTTTATTGTGCTCCAGTGGATGAACGAGTGTTTAAAGTTTACTGAGGATATATTAAACTTTTATCTTGAACAGCAGACTTTGCTTACTGTACTTTCTTCGGCTTCCTTTGTCGTCTTTAGTGTGCTTTTAGAGAAAGGCTAGGCAGATTGACAGCAATCTTTTTTTTCAGGTATTCTTTCTTCTTGTTTTCATTTGTCAATGAATAAGCATGAGGAAGTCAACATCTGTTCTGTTTTATCTTACTCACTTCTGCTCTGTCTTAAAGGAATTTGTTTGAAAGATCAGTTGTCATCATAGAGTATACTCAGACTGTAGTTTCTTATTGAATTGCTTTCCTAGGTTATTGATTTTTATGCAGTTTGCTAATCTTTTGATATATCAAATAATTTTTGGACCACTGCTTTCTTGATTCTAAGCGTATTTACCGGTATATAATCTAGTTTCTGTTCTCCTTGAAGTGAATGATGTCAAAGTGCCATGATAACGCACTTTTGTTCAGAATTATAGTCAATGATATGTACCATTTTATTTTAAAAAGAACAATGGGTGTATTGTGTACTCAGCTTACCTTTCATGCCAAAATTTTCCAGCTGGTGTAGAAGCTGTGGCTATTGGATGCCATGGGTTATATCTCACGTTTTCCACACCACTCATTCTGGGACTGATGGGGCTAGGTGCTTGTCTTGTTACAAAAGTAAAATGAAATGATAGGTGTGCATGTTGCCCACTCTGGCAGTTGAAAGTCAAAGAAAAGGAAGACTGTTATTGATGCTGGCTCTCAGAGCGTAATCCAAATTAATTCTCTTCTCAAAAGGAAAGCACCAGAAAGTTTTTCTCAATATTTCTAAAAAGAATACCTTTGAAAATTGCAAACTAATGCCCGAAAGATGAGGGACAATATCTTGTCATAGGAAAAATGGCTTTACACATCCAATTTAGTTGCACCATAGGCTAAATTTAAGATCCTACGGTCAAGAAAAGTTCCCCTTATATCTAAGTGAATCCATTTACATCATTGGTTAAGAATATTGTATGTTGTCTCATTATCAGGGAGTCCTCTTGACAGTGACAAAATGTAATTTTTAATTATATGCGATATGTTGACCAGAGAAAGATAAGAGGCGCCAGCATGCATTTTTTTGACATCCTTCCACAAAGGGTTGGATCTTTTTCATAGGAAATGTGAACATATTATTGATTTGATAAGAGAATGAGTTGTCTTCTCTAGTCTTTAAGCAGATTTATCAATTATTAGGATATATTAGCTTGAGCAATGTTATTGTTATGGAAAATAATGCGTTGTGATTAAGTAATTATTTTGTTTTCCATGTATTGTGTAAAGTTTTAAAAGGCTTGATTTTTATATTTTGTAATATACGCAGAATTTATCGAAACTGCTTTTACAAACAGATGTAAATAGGCAGCTTCCTTTTGGATTTGCTTTTTGAATACCTCTCACGTTTCTTGGGACTTGTGGTACAAGTTGTAGTGTGCAGCACAGCTACTTATGCTTCAATATTTTTAAAAAACGAAGAAAGATCTTTTTCACTCTGCAATATTGCCTTACTCAAACTCACTGAGTACAATATTTGTTATTTGTTGTGGTTCTTGAAAAGGTGATATAGTGCATTTTTCTAGTGTCTTATGATTTCTAACAGTGGATTTTGTTTTAATGTCTCACAATTTCCGACTGTGGATTTTTATTGTGTCTTGTAATTTCTGGTGGAAAGCCTCACAGAAATGTTGTAGAGCCACCAGCTGTTAGTGGGCTAATATGATGCTTCTTTTACTTGTGAACAAAAGCCCTTGCTGGAATATTTGCTCCCATCATGACATTTCATGATGGTTTTGTGCCAGATTAAGATCCTGGCATAGTGGGAACTATAACGCTGTGGTACTTGATGTGTGATGTACCTGCAAAGTTTTTAAAAAAGTCAATTAACCCTATCCGTACGTTGTGTTTTACTATCGTATCCATACGACGTGGGGAACTCTGCGCCACCACTTTCCAAAGAGGAAATTTACTCGTTAATCCGATCTGCACACTTTGCATAGCAGTCTGTCAAAATGATTTTTTGAGAAATACTGAAAGTTTCAAAGAGATCTTCGCACTAGAAGTATTCTAAAATGTGAAGAATACAACCCCTGGGGTACAAAATGACCCCAGGCGTACGTATAGGGTTAAACTCATCAATTACATTTATAGGAGTGAATTATAGATAAATATGTACAGATATGAAATAGTCCATACGTTTTTTCCTCGTAACTTTTTGACATCTAAGGATCTTAATGATGATCTGAAATATCCACCATGTCTGACTTGAACTGTGTATGTGTGTGAAAGTTGATTTCCAGAGAAGTTGAAATAACACTGTAGTTTTTTCCTATTGTCTATTTATCCAAATTGCCCAAAAGTTTGTGCTGTGTTCTTTTTACACACACACACATATATATATATATATATATATATATATATATATATATATATATATGTATCACCAAGTGTAATTATAGTTGAGAATAACATAATTTGAGACAAAAAACGTGTTTGACCTAATTTGGTGGAAACAAGGTTAACGTTTGACTGTAGTACTCGGACATTACTTAGCTCTGTATGGTGATAAACTTAAATTTAACTTAAAGTTTTAAAGTGTATGTTGTGTACTCTGAGAGTGGAATGAGCTTCCTGTGAGCTTTTCTTCTGCTTTGGCCTGAGGAAGTGTAGTGGTTGGTGTCGCTGGTGAAGTAGTTTGACTCTGCCATTGCTTGTAGAAGACGTTTTGAGTTCAAATCTTGAATGAGGAGGTTTTTTCAATGAGTATATTATCTACCTGTTTGCTGGGATTTTATACCTTCATAGCATGAGTTGGCCTTGACAGGCAGGGTCAGATAGGCAGCCCATCTTTAATGAATTAATTTGTTGGGGCGTAAAAATTTGCAAATACAATTACAATGGAGACTGCTTAAATCAAAATCTGTGGGACTGCCAGATTTTCTACAGTTTAGCAGGGTTTTCAATTTAGAAGGGTTGCCTCAAATAGAAGAAAAATAGTCAGGGATTTTTATTTCTTTTCAGTTTACTGCTGATTTTGGATTAACCGTATGTGGTTAAAGCAGACACTGCTGTATTTACAAGTGAAGAGCTCTATTTTGTTAATGGTTCATTGATATATAACTCTTGTCATGTGAATGAGGGTGAGGGAAAGTTTTTGGCTTTTGTCATATTGATTAGTTAAATGATTCTATGATGACTGCAGATTTATTATAAATGATACTTGTTGTTTCTGTTTCTCCTAATTCTTGTATCTTACCAGTGTCGAACTTTGAGGTGTATTGTGGGTGTAGTTTTTTACTAGAGTGGTAATGATACTTGTACTATTTCAATTAATTTTATTTGTTGCATTTAGTAACACGCACCACTTTTTAAAATCTTCCTTTTTTTGATCTAAAAGTTATCTCTTTTCTGTTCTTCCGAAAGCTTTTCAAATTTTATACTTTGTGTAGTTTTTTAAATTGTATAAAATTTAGCTGTTTACTCGAAATGTTTAAATTTAATCTTTTAAAGTTGTGAATAAAGCACAGTATGCGATGATAAATTGATATTCTCACACCATGGCAGTGGTGGGTTTTTCTTGATGGTGGCGGGTATGAAAAGCTTGTTGCACTTACAGTTGAAGTGACTACATAAGTTTACATAATATTATGCATGCTTATGTATTGATTTGAAGTCCTTTGATAGATTGTGGGTGGTTGGCGGGTGCACTGGTGTGGTTTGCTCCTTCTTTCCTATCAAACATCTATCGTCCTTATCTCCCCTTCTTCTTCTTTATGTTTGTTACTCTCTTGTAACACCTCTAATCTTCTGGTGCTCATATGACCTTATGCAGTTGCGAGGGCCGTAAAACCTCTACTAAAACTAAACTTTGATAGATTTGTTTATCATGTATGCCTTGAGATTGATGTTACGCATCTGTAGCTAGTGATCTGTTGAAGGGTAGAAATTGTTCAGGCTAAACAGGAGTTGACAACTTTGCTAGCGGGGGAGGGGGTGGGGCTGGGGTTGTGGGGTTATATGAGTCTCATTGTTAGGCAAACAATACTCAAATAAAAATGTGCGAAACTGTATTGATTTATCCTTTACAACACTATTTCAAGAGATGTGACCTTTGAATTTAACATCCATTACTGATAGATGAGACACTCGCTTCTTTATATCAATGCATCAGGCAAAAATTTTTGGGGATCAGTTAAACTTAAAAGAATTGAAACAACGCTCTAACTGAGAGGAGAGCTGCACAAGGTTAGTATTTAAAGTCAATTTCATGTGTAAATCAGAATGCATCTTTAGGCCTTTTTGTGTAATTATTACAGGTCAAACTTTCAAATGTTGTATTTAAGAAGATCAGACATTCCCAAAATAACTTGTTAAAGTAGAGGGATATATATATATATATATATATATACATACATGCAGATGGAGTTTTTGTTTATATCAGAATGCATCTTTAGGCCTTTTTGTGTAATTATTACAGGTCAAACTTTCAAATGTTGTATTTAAGAAGATCAGACATTCCCAAAATAACTTGTTAAAGTAGAGGGATATATATATATATATATATATAAATACATGCAGATGGAGTTTTTGTTTATAATCTGTTGAACAAAAGAAATGAGACATTTATGGCAATCGTGATGTATGAATAATTTTTTGGGATATGTCTTTGGAGCACTGCATCAAAAAGGTTGTTAAAAAAGCCATGGATCTGTAGTGTTCAGTCATCTCATGGACTCTCTCTTGTGAGTTTGACTGCCACTGTCTTATGGGTAGAGTGTGGATGAACATACTGTTATCGACTTGATCTCCTTCTAGCTCTCCCCTCCTGTTCTTCTGTTCAGTGCTCTATGTATGCAATGATATGTGTGAATATATTTTGATATACACAGTAGTCATATTTATGCTAAAATGTGGCAATATCTGCTCTGCCATAAATGGTCTCATTAGTCATTGCAGAAGCTACAAATCATCTTAATTCTTATTTTTTCTATCTCCCTTTAAGAAATACTCTCCTCTGCAGATGCATTTTTCATTGACAGACGAACTATTATTATTATTATTGTTATTATTACTATTATCATTATCATTATTATTATTATTATTCATAACACAGGCACCCCAACCATCTTCTTTCTCCGTTCTCCATGTCTGGTCTTGGAGAGAGAAGAATAGCTTCCACAGTGCTAACCCCTAAACTACTAGACCTACACTGTAATCCTAACCAATGTTCTGAGACAGTTGCTTGTGATGCAATAATGGGGTTAAGACTAACAGGAGGGCACTGGTGGGAAAAAATCTCTCTCAAGGGACAGATAGGCAGTAGCCCCCACCTTTATAATTGAATTGTAATTCCAATGTTTTGAACTCCACCATACTTTACTTTTCTGATCCAGCGGCCATCTGAGTTCTAGCCCTTCGGCCTGAACCGAACTCCACCATAAGCATCTCTGCTTCTGTCATAGGCGTGTTGTAATTCGTAAATCCTGCTGTGGAAATAATTTAAACCGGACCAGGAAGATTTATGTGCAAAAGAAATTGTCTTTTTCATTTATGAAGTCTCTGCTGTGAAGATCATTTTTAGTGAATACATACTAAGTTTTGTCATAATTTTAATCTACCTTTATCTCTCCAAGGTTCCTTGACATATATATATATGAAACATTACTTTTTAAAAATTTTTTATGGCTGTTTTTCACTAAATTCTTGCACTCTAGTAAAATATTGCAAATAAAGCCTGACTATATTTTATGAACATTGTGACTTGATATTTATTTTATGGATGTATTGGCTTTTATGAAAATTAAAAAATTTATTAAAATTTTGAAACGTTATCTCGGGACCTCAGAATCTAATGTCCATCTGATGTGACTGAGCCACAGAGTCGGGGGTTGTTGGAATGGGTATAAAAGCTTGCTCGTTTACATTGCAAAGAAACGATGTCTGTATTTTTCAAAAGAAATGCTTTTAGCTCAACGGCTTTTCCCTCTTTTTTGCGATCCCCTGATAGATCTCAGGGGTAGTTGACTGCTGGTTTTTAGGTATGTGACCGGTTTTCCTACTACATAGGGCCCCTTTCCTTCAAGAAGCAACATTCTGATTTTGAAGGTACTCTGTATATTTTTATACTGACTAGAGTATTTTCAGTTTTGAAGTAATAAACCTGAATTTTGCTCAGTGCCAGCTGAAGCCTACTCTTATCGTTTTGAGGACCACCAGGGATCTTTAACGTAAGCATCTTGCACTCGGGACCTCTGAGCTTTTTCACCCTTTTCTCCAAAGTCTAGGTGCTTATTTTTATCTTCCTGAAGATCGGGGGTGTGGCTGAAAGACGGCAATTAGGAGGAGCCAGGGATAGCAGTAGAAAGTGTCAGGAGTGTGGAGCTCAGAGGAGGCCAGAGGGTAGCGGGAGAAAGTGGAGACGATGGCATTTATGACAGAACAAGGCAAGGGAACAGAAAAGGAGGTAAAAGCAGAAAATTTTACAGAAGAGAACTATTTCATCAAGGCAGGTTTTGATCCCGGGATTTTTTTTTTCGTATGAGTTTTAAGGCACTTGCAACACAATAAGGTCATACAAGTGCCGAAGATTAGTGGTGTTACAAGGAAGTAACAAACACAAAAAAGAAGGAGGGGAGTTTAGTTTAGTTTTAGTAAGAGTTTTACGGCACTTGCAACACAATAAGGTCATATAAGTGCCGAAAAATAGATTACGTGTTACAAGAGAGTAACATACACAAAAAAGGAGGAGGGGAGATAAGGACGACAGATGTTTGATAGGAAAGAAGGAGTAAACCACACCAGAGCACCCGCAAACCACCCACAGGAATCTTTTGAATGAGAGGCGAACACTGTATCACAAAATCCTGAGATGAGGGCAGTGAGATGATAAAAAAGTCTAAACAGTTCAAAACCAGAGGAAATTATTGCACAATAAGATTCCAAATAACACAGAACAAACATGAATTTTTGTAGAAACAATAAATATTTTATTTCAGTAATATATGTTAGTTATTTAAAATAATACACAACTTTAGGTAGATGAAAGTTTAACAAAACGATAATATAATAGTATAAAATTTGATTCATTTCTGTTTTCTTTTGTACAAAGGAACTAGGCACACGATTCAATGATTGAACAAAGAAAAAGAAAAGAAACAAATGTTGGCTGAATACATTTCCAGTGGTTTGTGGCCTAATCTTCAAGTCAATCAGTTTTTCCAGATTAAGTGGTTCAAAAGCAATGAAATTATTAACACCCCTTTAAGACGTGTTATGGTGTAATCCCATCTAAGCTTATTTAATCATCTGTAAAAGTAAAGTAAAGCCCCCTATTTTGAAAGTGCTTGACCTAGTGCACAGATCCAAAAGGGGTCACAGCAGGGTTGTTGCTTTTCATCTTACAAGAACTGGAAGCAGCTGGCTGTGATCATTGTGACAAGTGAAAGCATGGGGTAAGGGGAGGGGGGTGCTATACTTTTCTTTTACCTGATCCTTTAGTTAAATTAGTCAATCCTTCTAAGTTCCAAGTGTTTACCATAACAGATCTACATGTTGCTAATCTAATGAGTCCTACAGACTCTAAATCTGAAACCCTAGTGAACGTCTCTGGGCTAGTGAGGGAACGTTGTAGTTTAGCCAAACTCCCACCACAAACCCTCTGAGCAAGTAAGGAATGGTGATCATTGGATGACCGCTCATGATCAGTTGGACTACAACTTTTTGGACTTTAAACAATTAAGTTGTAAACATACAAAATATTGTACAAATTGAATCACCAAAAAAAAAAAAAAAAAAAAAAAAAATACCCAAGGCTGACAGTGGCTGTGGTTCACGTCAATGAAATCTGATGCCAAAAAATGACTTCAAAAGCAAACATGAGTGATAATTCAGTATTTAATTCATTACCATTTGAAACATAACGCTGACAATCATATCATGAGACAAATGAATTGTGACTTGTGAAAAGAGCAGGATTTAACCCACAATGTGCTTTAAAACCTTGCACGGTGAGAGAATGTAACTTAAGAAAAATCAGCTTCTGCAATATTGCGGTATAGAAGTCTTTGCAAAAAGATGTGTTTTTTTCCTGAATTTGACATATGATCTTTATGCATGGCTTCAGTCTATGCACAATGCACAATGTAAGCTGATGGTCAAGGCCATGTGGAAAATGAACATGACCAAGCCGTCTCAGATGACAGTAACGCACATATCATAAAAACATAGTGCCAGGTAAACATTGCCTCGTATGCAGCTAGTACAGATAAAGATCAACACGTCTCGTCTTAAGAGAAAAGCGGACTTTTCGAAAACAATAATGCAAATTTTCAAAAACAAAACTTCCTTCTGAAAATGGTATAGGTTTAATGCCCCTATTCGGTTGTTTAAGAGGCGGGACCTCCGAGTTTAGTATCCACCTCTGAAAAGACCAAGCCAAAAAAGAAATTCATGTTAAGTGCCTTTCCCAAGGACACCACGTTGGACTGGGCTGAGGCTCGAAACCCTGTACCTGCTGTCTCATGATTATGGGTCTGGCAGGCTAACCACTAGGCTACTGACCCCACCAAAATTTTCATTCTGATACAGGGGAGGGGAAATCACTTCTCAAACAAGAGATCTCGTAGTGATTGATCTACTGTCTCTATACTATATTTATAAACATTTTTTGAAACCTGTCTCTTTCCGAAAGGGAGTTAAAAAGTACCCTCTATGAATGTTCCACACCACACTTTGACTTCTTAGTGTATGACTCCGCCACACGCAATTACGAAAAGTACATTAATGATGGAGTATTCCACTAAGCAGTTGATTTGTAGTATGTGTATGACTGTCTATTGTCAAACATGGATATAAAGCCATAACAAAATGTTTGTGTGAGATTATATTTGCGCACACCTGTACATGTAGTTCTACACTATACGATGCAATTTTTGTGTGGCTCCTCCTTGCAATGTCAGCTTTAACCTCACACGTAAAATGACTGAGTGTGTCCTGATCAACAACAGACTCAGACATTATGAAATATTCTGAAATTATAAATAGAAACTACGCAGAGAAAAATCTGTTCCTCATTTATTTGCTAACATGTTCACATATTGTATAATGTAAGCTTTGTTCCCCCCAAAAACAGGCAGAAGGAGCCACTTTGAAAGTTGACAAGACAAAGAGTAACAACTATTCTCAGAAAAGAAGCTTTGCATTTGCGACAAAAAAACACAAAAATTATTACCCTGAACATTTAAGTTGTCTCGAGAGACTGCTTAAGCTTCTCATAATCTGCTTGTTTTAAGCACTCTTATTAACAAACGAACATGGGTCCGACTTGGAACAGGAACAAGTAAACCATACAAAAACTTTGCCACAATGCCACTGCAGCAACAAGAACAAAAACAATATAGCAGACAAGTGAACAACGTCGTTTTTCTTAAGTCTCTTGCAAGACTGTCACAAGATAGCTGTAGGCCAACTGTTTATGTAAGTGAAGCCAATTCAAATTGTGTACACTCATCTGTAAACGCCTGACATAAAGGAAAAAGTAGTGAAGGAAGAAGCTTTGCTTTTGTACAGTATAATTCACTCATTATAACAATAGGGATAGTTATCAAGACAATCTTTTACACTAACCATTCATTCCTGTTCACAAAATAATAATTTCTTCAATTGTGTGCTTGATTTTCTATCAGTTTCTCCTTCTCACTCACTATCTCTCCTTTCTTGCACACTCAAACATACATCTATGTGATGAGCAAAAACCTAGTTCATGATCACTTATATATTCATACTTTTTAAAAAATAACAACAAAAAAGAAAAAAGAATATGCATGATACAGAAATTATACGTATTCAGTCACATCACTGACAATATAATGATGCCATCCTCAAAATCCAGTCACGTAAACGATGTCAAATGTGAAGTGAAGCATTGTTAACTTTTTCAATTTGGTAAAATGTAAGTATCCTGCCATGTAAAATTCTGCATAATATACAAAATGTTTGACAAGGCGATTATGCCTCCATCCATACTTTCTAAATAGTGTCATTGCATTTCATCCAATTTTAGACGTAAAAGGTTCACTTTCTTCAAAATTTCAGTCACTGGGAAGGTATCAATCAATTTACAAATAGCCTAAAAAATCACGTGAGATGCAAATAATTCATGAAATCATCAGAATACGCTTTTCACAAAGATATAATATATCTTGATAGCATGAATAGTTAAGACAGTAACTTAAACGAGAAACAGAACTTTGTACTTCCGTGTCAGTACTGACTACCAGTCTAGGCTATCTTAGTAATAAGACAGCCTAACTACCAGTGTATTAGGCATGTTTGGAGGGCATCACAGCATCATGGTAAAGGCAAAGATAATGATGAGTACACAACAGCCAAGGAAAAGGAAAATACATCATTGCCTCTGAAAAAGTTTTTTTTTCAGATTACTCAAGAGTAATATATTGTTTCTTAATCTTTTCTATCTGACAATGCACACATTTGTGGGTTGTTGTAGAATTTTGAAATGTACAATAGTAAGACGAATGAAGTCTTCCAAAGTCAGTGCACTTCAACTGAAACACATTATTGTATTTTTTTCAAAAAACCTAAAACTTTTCCCTCAATAGCATGGGATGAAAAAAACAAACAACAACTCATCCCATTATCATTTTCTTACAAAGCTTTCCATATCCTACACTTTGGCACAGTCTGTCCCATCAATATGCACATTTTACATCAGTATCTACAAGATTGCATAGATATATAGTATGACCTCCTTTGACACGAAAATGTTATTCCCAAATGAAAAAAAAAGCATGTGCTGACAAGTTTTGTAATACAGTCAAGCTACAAAAAGATTTTGTAAAAAAACCGAACACGGCAAGACTATGGTGAGATGACGTAACATCAATGTTCTGATCTACTCAGCACGAAGTCTGATGGCTTATCTGCTTCCCGCACGTCTAGTCTGCTCTCAAATTACTAACAAAAACTTTCCTTTTATCACTCTCTAAACATGTGGGAAATAAATGAAGCAAAGACTGTAATTTTTCAGAAAAGTACATTCCTTATTTCAGATCTGAGTTTGAATCTATAATACCATACACTATACATGTATTGTATGCATCTTGGGAAGAGGGGGAAAGTTGGGGGGGGGGGGGAGGGGGGCGATGAAGACAGCTGAAAGCATGAATAATGCTTCATGATTATATGTTCCCAGATGAACTTCTTCCAATATCTGTGAATACTACTACTGCTCAAATGTTCAAAGTTATAGGAATACACCTTCCCTTCAAAACCATTTCATTTCCAATCATTAAAAATAATTGGTTACAGCTTTCAGAATGTTGTTACTTTCTGTGTAGTACTAGAAATGATACAATAGATGATAGCGTTTTAGAACTGAGGCAGGGTTTATTTTGGAGTTATTAAGAAAAACAAAACAAATCTTTTAGCTAAATCAAATCAAACAATACTTTTTGGACAATATGTGGACAGCTAAAGGTTGTTGAGGTAACCCTGCAATAGTAGGAAATGAGCCCAAAGACACTCATGTAATTTCTCTGAATTCTCTCGGCCTTTTCCACCCCCTTTAGTACCTGCCATTCATATAATAATCCTGCTGTCTCGGGGCAAAGTCTTGGGTGCGTCCGTAGTCCCCTCCCCTGTGGTTGGTCCGGCTCAGGCTGTGCTCGGCGTGGATCAGCTCGGTGGTGAAGCCGTTACTCAAGTCGGCCGACTCCGCCATGCTGTGCCGCTGGCTGGGACGTTGCATGTCATAGCCGAAAGGCTGGTACCCAGAACCGCCACCGACTCCGCCGTTATACCCGACGGCCTGGCCCCTAGAGTGCTGCAGGCTGTTGCCGGGGTATGGCGCGCTGGGGTGTGTCTGAGGCGGCTGTTCTCCGCCGCGGTATGAGGAATAAGGGTGTGGAGAGTGGTGGTACGTTACGCCGTTGGCTAGAGGCATGTCATCCCGCTGGAAGCCCTGGTTGGTGTAATCCGGGTAGTAAGGTTTTTGGGCGAAAACGTAGTCGGCCGTGCGGGACTGTCGAGCCTTCTCGTTGATGACCGTGAGCTCGCGGGTGATGAACAGCATGATGGCCAGGATGATGGTGAGGCCCGAGGAGATGCAGGCGAGGAAAAACCCCCATCGGTAATGGTTGAGTAAATCGTTATCCGCTGTTTTGATGGCCACCAAAATCACACCAGCGGCACCGCACAGACCTAGGAAGTAGAACAACAATAACAACAGCGATATTCGTTACACAAAACTGGTGCATTCTTTTTTCACAACGGTATTTTTTTTTCAAACCGTTATTCAGATCAATAAAACGACTGAAGCTTGTGTGGCGACCTGGTACACTTTATAAAGGTACATGTCACAGCTTTAGTTTAAGCAAAGTTTTTTTTACGGCCTTTGAAAAACAAATAGGATCAAATAAGTTCCGAAAATTAGAAGTGTTATTAGAGGGTAACATACAACGAAAAATGTGGAGAGATGATGACAACAGGTGCTTGTTTGAGTAAAAAGAAGCAAAAAGACACAATAATGGTCTTTTAGTACTGGGGGGGGGTGGAGATAAGGATGACAGAGATACGAAAGAAGAAGCGACCCACACCAGAGCACCCACCAATCACCCACATACCATTGTCAAATTATTGAAAATTAAATTGTTATAAGAGTTACATATGTTTTTGTTTTATTTTAGTAAGGTTTTACGGCGCTCGCAACTGCATAAGGTCATATGAGCACCAAGGGTTGGATGTCAACAGAAAAGTCCAAACGGGGAATCAGGCTTACTCTGCTCATCTCTCTAGCCTGAACAGCACAAAGTCTGCTTCGACTATCAAGGCACCCCGGAAATAGCAGTTCACAAGAGAGTGACAAACATACAAAACAAAAGAAGTAGAGATAGTAAGGATGAGGAAAGAAAAAGCAGCAGTTCCCCTTATGTTGTTCCGGCACAGACTGAGTATGACATTGATAAATCAGCCCATTTACAATTCTATAGTGAATAAGAACATGTTAATACCCCCGCTTCGAGAATGGCCTAAAGACAATTTCAGTCTGTAGCACTGCTCTGCTTTAGTTTTAGAAGAGGTTTTACGGCGCTCGCAACTGTATACGATCATTGAGCGTCCAGAAGAATAGAGGTATTACAAGAGAGTAACAAACACAAAATAGAAGCAGGGGAGATAAAGACAATAGATGTTTAATAGGAAAGAAGAAGCAAACCACATCAGAGCACCCGCCACCCACCCACCACTGTTCTGGCATGGGGAGGGGTCGTTACCTCTATGTTTGACCAGTAGGGCGATATAACATGCCCTAGACTTCCCACTGGGGGCCCCAGCAGACGTGGCTTTATATCGCAACAAGACACACTTGCAAACCTGACGTGCCACTGGAATAACTTATTTCTGTGCTGATAGCAGTGACATACTCTGAAAGACATACACACTATTGATCTAGAATTGAAGAGAGAGCGAGAGAGAGAGAGAGAGAGAGAGAGG